CCTCCATGCCAGTGTATATTGTATTGTAGGAGTTTGCCATAAACATGTTGATGACGAACAACGCTGGACTGAGAAGCATTCTAATGAGAAGCGTCTGCTCAACTCGCTTCCCTTTCTCTGCGAGCCTCGCACTGAATGTAATCAACAATCACGATTAATAAAATGCCATGGCTCAGTCGAGGACTACAGCAAACCATCAAATGATGTACACGGCTGCTGGGCCGGGCAATGAAAGGCCAGCCGCCACTTCTGAACTCAGCAACGAGTTCGTGACATTTCGGCAAGGCGACGTATGTGGGCGGTGTGGCAAGCCGATAGAGAACATTTGCATTTCAATGCCGGATTTGCTCCTGCCCTTAAGTCACAGTTCACATCTTTGCCGATATCCTGTAAACATTTGTCTCCACGAGGATACTGCAAGCCAGTCTCCTAATCCACAGTTCGCGAGCCGCCAGCCTGATCGCCATGAGCACTGAATACTCTAAGCATTTATCTAGTCAAGGATGTGAAAGTTCCAGCGGGAATATGGTCTTTGAAGGCACTCCCAATCAAAAAGGAGAAAATCGCACCCCTTCACTAGACCGCACGATCAAACCAAAGGCAAAAGAGTGATTAAACTGAGACATGCAACACCGGGTATTTGCTGGTCGTCACAGAAATAATATAATAGCTGCGTTTAGAATTATGGATCAAAGTCTATCTTATAAACCTCATCCTCATTTGTCTTAGATTCAGTCTCTTCAGCTTTAGTGAAAGGAAAAGTAAAGAGCAATACATACTGTCGCAGGCAGTATTATGTTCACACCGACATGCCTAACATCGAACTTCTTTCTCTTGTATTTCACCTCGGACGGTGTCCGTAGTACACCACATAAGTCGGCGTGTAACACGCGTTGGCAAATACCCCGCGTGATCTCGAGAACATCACCCTTTGAATTTCCCGGCTTATTGCTAGCAGTTCACGGGTCACGACCACAAATACGATTGCATCATTTGGTCTTTTGACATTGTGGGCGAAAATGAGGATTCATCCAGAACATCCGTGCAAGCTGCAACAACAGATGAAGACATGCTTCAGAAGCGCTCGGGGGAGAGCGGCGCAGCGGAATCCGGTGTTCTATCTCTTCTCGACCTCTTGTCGTCGGCTGCATTGTCACTGTTGCAACCGCTGTCGTTTTCTGCGCACCCCGCCTCTGACATGTGGCTTGCACGCAAGAGATTGGCCGATGAACCTTACAGTGCCGTCCCGTCAGCGTATTTAGTCGCCATCGTCATGTCAATGCCATCAATTGAATGTCACATCTCATGCCGAGCTGCAATTGCCCTAATCGAGACACCCTAACCAAGGTCAGCATGGGAGTTGACCTATCCGGAGCCCCAATTGAGAACACACCGGCAGACATCGACTGTTTCAGCTTCTGGACCCCGAGCTACCTGCAAGACCCGGAGGACCATGCGCGTCCGGAGGTGACGGTGACATGGCCTTGCCCAACCATGTGCCGCCAGTCGTAAGCTAAATCCAACATGCCGGGTGCTTAGGCCGTCGCCACCCGTCCTTGTCATCACCGACCGGCATGAGCTCCCTTGGTCGGAGGTTTCTCAACCGGGACGCGGCTTGCAGTCCCCGAGGGCGAGATCGTGTGGGAGGAATGTGGGACATGTTAGTATTGGCCTTTTTAATCTCGGCCTCGCTAACATTCCATGTCAAAAGTAACAGACAATCCCAATCGAGCACTCGGTTATAAGACGATGTGAAAGAGTGGCGCATTGCATCAAACTACGCTCCAAGAGACCCATTGCGGAGGTGAAGCGGTACACACACACACACACACACACACACAAAGACCATTGGGGGGACGGGCGGGAATGAATAAGTGGCCATTCCCACGACACCGGAAGTGCGCCACAAATACAAGCTCGCCTGGGCAACGCTAGACATTGTGCATAGATTCAAGCCTGGTCAGCCGCATCATCGTCAGCCGGGTAAAATCCTACTATCTCGGTCCCGAGATAGGAGGATTGAGCCTCTTTGACAGCAAGCCACAAGCCTAGCAGTGACGGCCGCTGGCGGGTTGAAAAATAGGAAACGGCGCGCCGCGCCGACGGGTTGTCAATAGGGTACAGGATCGAACTTTGCCGATACAGTGCAGTCAGTCATTCAGCAATTGCTTCCCGGAAAGGGAATGGCCACGGCGGGTGTGCGCTATCCGACGAGGATCATTGCCGCAGGGGATGCAGATGCAGACACGTTGGCAGCATGACATGGAAATCTTTGTTGGATGGGAGAGGATGGAGAAGAGGAGGGAGGTCATGACACCAAAGGCTTACACCGTTACACGCCACTTAAGCGCCTTGTGCACAGACGCCCCAAGCGCACAGCCATCCATGGATCCTACCTTACCTACCACCTTACCTCAGGAAGGTAAGCGAGGTACTACCCAAGCTAAGGTAGGTAGGTAGGTAGGTGTCAACGCGCGCTCCTGGCTTCCACTCCAGAAGTAACATCTGTACTGAAATGAAATTGGAGCTTGCCAGCCCTCTCAACTGCCAACTTCCAACCCTGTGAATATCCGTCTTCGTGGATTATCGTCCGGGCTTGCCTGCCCGTGGACCATGAACACACGTCCTCCCTATCCCATCTTCGGGTCAGGTCCCTCAAGTTCAGTGGAGGTAATCGCACCTACAGTCGACCTTCAACCCCCACCCCCCACGTCCATAGCTTCCCCCCCCTTAGCTTCGGTCTCAGCTTGGAGAGAGGTTAACCGCCAGGTACCTACTCCGTCCCAACATATTCGTCTGTCTGGCCAAGGCCACAATCCCCCCTTTCCTGCCCCCCGTCCCTGTCTGCCAGCCCTATATCCGGATGACAGTTAAGACATGCCCAGCCGCAATGGATAAATCATTTGATTATCGGTTCGTCCAGGAATACTACGGATACGTCCCTCCTCTTTGTTTCGAGGTCGCACAAACAGGTTGGAATCAATGGAGTTAGGAGAATGCCAAAATTCCTCATTACAAATACGGCTGCGTCAGGGTCGGCGGCTTGGCTTGCTGCTGCTGCTGCAGACAGCAAGACCTGCCATGTTTCGGACTGAATCAACCAAGGTTACTCACCACTGTCGACACCAACACCTTGCTTATTCCTGGTCTACCTACCTACGGAATGGTGACAAAGGAAGGCGCACTGTCCCCAATCTGGTCCGCGCTACCTGTCTGCATCGCATCAATCAACCTTCCGAGCAGGCACTCTGTAAGGTACTCCATCGGGGCAGCTTTTCGCGAAGAAGGAAGGGACGTCAACGTCCGGGCGCCGGGCAACGGGCGGGCCGGCGGCGGCGGCGCGGCGGAGGCGGACGGACAGCCAGTTCCACAGGACCCCTTCCACCGCGCCATCACCGAGGCTGAGTCTGCCTGTTCCAATCTCCCCGCCGAGCCTATTTGAGCCAACTAGACCGTCACTTCTCAATCTGGCCGACGCATCTAGCCCAAATCGGCCAAGAACGCTGGACCGCAAGCCAAGTCCGAACATGAGGTACTTTCTCTCCTGCTTCTAGCGCAGTAGGGATTTTTTTCTTTCTTTCTCGCTATCGGGGGTGTGTAGGAGGGCCGAGGGGTAATTCCACGTCGCTAATTAACCAAGTTCCTGGCCCGTTCGCTCCCAAATACCTGACCCCTCACAGCGCGATAATCAAACAAGCGAGATAAGGTATCAACACGTCCAGGGGTTGAAACGCGTCTGTCCGTCTGCAAAATGCGTCTTGTCTTGTTTTTTTTCTGCAGGGTATCATGATACATGGAAGATTGCCCCCAAAAGAAGCCGGCCCTACTTGGAAAGAACCAGAAGAAGATAAAAATTTGTCCAAACAACTCCGACCTGAATCTCGATGGGCTCGCACCAAAACCTCCAGGTGAGCCCTTATCCGGCAGGTCCTTTTTGGCCAGCCCGTGATAAATGAAGAAAAGAAGAAAAATAAACCACCTCCGATTGCTATAGATACACCCAAACATAATGCCGTGTTGACAATGCACATCAATACACCAGGTGCGAAATGAAGTGAAGCGAAGCAGAAAACCCGATGAAGAGAAGAGCGCTCAAGGGCTCGTCGAAGGGACAATGCCGCCCGCTGGAAGAATCGAAATAAAGTTGCCGTGACCCGTGCGTGCCTTGTAGAGAAGAAAAATGTGCGCCTCCAGTTCCAGATCCGCTGGAATGGCATCAGGTGAATCCAGAGGTAGTCCAAGTCTCTGAGAAATCCAAGTGTTGGACAAAATTCGAAAACGTCGACGGCAGCTCTCCCCGCAACCCCAGCCCAATTCAGGGCCGCGGAGAGATCCACGACGTAGGGGAGAAGAGGAAAAAAAGAAGTAAAAAAGTTGGCGAATTGAATTCATAGAAGCGAAAGTTCGGAGGAAAATGTCGTACTCATGCATCTCGTTTCGCGAAATTCCGCCGTGGCGGATGGCTGAAACAAGTCGTAAAATTGGCCGAGACCAGATGTCGCTGTCGCTCTTGTCGTGTGGCTCCTGATCCTGCGGCTCCACGTGTCCGCACCCTAATGTTGCCGCCGCCTGTTTACTGGTCATCGATATATCATTCAGCAGGTCGATTTGAAGCGGATTTCATGGATCCTCAGAGAGTAAAGATGAGACCGAATGTCCGCCAATAGTTCTCGCCGGCTGTTGCTGTTGAGAGGATGTCGAATCGGTGCTGCCCTGGTCTGGTCCGCTGCCGGAGCCGACAACCTGCGGAGACATGCCTCGAGGGGTTCCAAAACTCTCTCCCCGGCCTCGACCCCCCGGCCGATAAAATGAAAGATCACTGCGTTGTCGAGAATGTCCTCGTCTTCGTCCCGGCGGGGGATTTCCAAGCGTCGATCCACCGTGAAAAGGAGGCGACCTCAGGCGCTGTTGACTAGGAGGTGGAGCGGCTGGTTGCGGGCCAGTGGCCTTGCGCTTGTTCCTAGGAGACTCCCCTAATGGCCACACCAGCCGAGGTTAGCCTAAAGCGACTCTCGCTTTCTCTTGGTCTTGCTGGACGCACCGGAGGGTGTCGCAGGCTGTGTAGAGCCTCCTCCGGCTTGAGATGTGGGCGGATGCCAATGGTGAAAGTAAATGGACGGGCTGGGCTGGGCCTCTTGCTGAGCTGCCGCAGACTGGGCTGTTGAGTGAGCCTGGTGACTCTGCATTGTCGACGAGCCGGACTGCGGCACATTTGTGTTCAGGCTTGGCAAGTTCGATGATCCGAGAGGTCGAGAAATCGAGCCAGTAGAGGACAGCGTCGTAGCCCTGCCTCTCGTTCCCGGAGAGCCTGGGTATGCCGTGAACCCATGCGGCCCGGGGGCCGAGCTTGGAGTCGAGGGAACACCAGGGTACTGCCCGTATGGCTGTGACTGAGAATCACGGCGATGATCAGGCGACAGAGGCCCTTGAGAAGGAAGCAATTGGTGATGCTGAGGCTGACCATGAGGGTTCAGGAACTGTTGTGCCCACTCCATAGCCGCCGGAGGCAAAACACCACCCCCCATGCCGGCGAAGACCAGCGGCACGATGGGTGGAGGAATTCCGCCGCTCAGAGAGGTCCGCAGCATGTCGGCCTCGATGCGTCGCTGCTCGAGGCGCAAAGATTCCTGTCTGGTCTTCTCCTCCTCCTGTCTTCTCCGCTCCTCCTCAGTCTTGGCGGCCAACCAACTTCTCATGGAATCCTCGGCGCCCTGCCACTGAGGCGGGGGGCCCGGCAACTGGCCCATTGCATGACTGTGAGTTGACGGAGGCTGGCTGATGGGCTGAGGCGCCGGGGGTGGCGGGGGAGGAGGAGCAGCAGTTGAGTGAGGCGGTTGAGGGGGCAGAGTCATGGCCGCCGGGGGAGGCAGACCACGATGATGCGTCGACATGGGCTGACCAGGTGGACTGTGACTGCGGGGAATAGAGGGAAGCAGCTTGTGAGAAGGGTGGTCTTGGTAAGACAGTGGAGGCGAAGGTCGGGAAGTCGAAGGCGGAGTTGGTAGGTCATGGACGGACTTGTAGCCGTAGTGAGTTGGCTGCTTAACAGTGAGCATGGTCATGTAATACTCATTCGTCCGGGGTGACTATGAGCTGTTGAAGAGAAATGCCGGCAACATGGGAAGGCCAATGTTGATAGTGGAGGAGCAAGGTGGTTGGGTTGTTGACGTCGTTGGTGATTTTGTGGTGTTTGCCAGCCAAGGGAAAGAAAAAAGAGACAAAGGGGACAGGTAATGAAGGTCGAGAAGTAAACAAAAAAGTTGCTGTCACTGGCTGGCCAGACAGACGGATGGAAGGAAGAGAGATTTCTGAAGGTAGAAGAAGGAGGTGAGGTAGGTGAGGTGAGGTAGGTAAGGAAGATAAATCGAGATATGGGGGTGCAGGTGGTGGAAATAACCTTTTTACAGGTGCAAGCTGGAGGGCGACCCAGGATGGGAAAGTGAGGTGGGCTAAGGAATGGGACGGTAACGGTACGCTGAGGTGTGAGCGTACAGGAGCGTCGTAGCAGCGAACGGAGGCAAGGTGAAGGTACCTCAGATGTACTAGCGTCGGGTGCCTCAAAGAGACATGTACGTCCGGAGGACGGTACCTACCTAGGTAATTACGAGGTGATGTGGCCACCGTCCCTTTTAGCTGAGGTAGGCAACTACCTTAGGTCCGAGTAGCTAGCTGAGCTTAGCTTAGCTACTTCCAGCTCCAAGCAGGGTCTCTACAGCCTCTTGGGTCTTCTACCTAGGCCTCTAGGCCTGCGATCTTGAGTCTTGAGTCTTGAAGAGAAGGAGTCTAGCGGCAGCGGCAGCGGCAGGGAAGGACAGGGAAGGGCAGGGCAGGGCGGGCAGGGGAGGGAAGGGAAGGCGGCAACGACGGAGCTAAGGAAGAAAGAAGCAAGCAAGGCAAGTCTTCACCTCGAGAGAGGCAGAGAGTCAGTCGTGTTGATAGAAACGAGCGGGGCGTGCTGTGATGAAACCTCTCCACGAACGGGCCCAGCCTCATTTGGTCATGGAGACTGTGATTTAAATGCCGGTCGATGTACGGGTAGCTGTAAAGCAGATCCAACACCAGCATTTGGGTCTGGGTCTAGTTCTAGGCCTGGACCTGGGCACGAGGTTGATACGGTGAGGTAGCCGGACTCGGCCTGCTGTCAGTCAGTCACATCGGGTTGGGCAAAATTTGTGGAAAAGGAGTGGCTTGCAGAGGTCGAGACAGAGGAAGGGAATAGTCTATAGAGCAAGTACTATCTATGTAGAAGAGGGTAGGATAGAGGAGAGTAGAGGGGCAGAGGGAGCACAAGACCAAGACTCTTTAGGTCGTTATAGAGAGGCCGAAATCGAGGAGCTGAAGATGGGGTTGAGAATGGAACCAGGTACTATGAAGAACAGGGCCAGCCCCAGCCAGAAATGGCACTCGATCTTTAGGATGGACGCCTTGCCGCCAGAGTCGAGTCCTTCTCCTGGAGCTCATTGACGAGGATGCAAACGACGTCCTTGGGGTCCGGACGTTGGACGGGAGGAGCGTAGACGGTTCGACGGTGGTCCAGGCACGGAGGCGTCTATGTAGGTATACCGTACATGGTTTGGAGAACTGGACCTCACCTCAAGCTTGAGAGAGGAAGCTGGACCGGAAGCTAGGTGCTGCGCTGCAGCACGATGCAGCACTGCGTACTATGTAAGAACGTTCGTACCGTACAGATACGTACTATGTATGGGGAAGGGGCAAGCAGGGAGACAAGGAGGGGGATCTGGGAGACCAGAGACCGGGGAGTGGAAGGGACGGCTACTGTTCTTTTCTGGGATTCTGGGACCCGCGGCCCAGGAGCGGGAAGAGCGTACTCTACGTATGGTAAGGTGGTGTAGGTACGAATAGCTACGTACGGATAGACGAGGGGGTGGGAGTGAGTACCTACCTCCTTCCACCTCAGTTGCGAGTTCTCCACCATGGCTGCCGCGGTACCGTACACTACCACTATAATGGAGGCGTGTGTGCGTGCGTGTAGGAAGGACGACGTGATTCTGGTTATTTTCTTTCTTCCCCTGCTGTTGTTATTTCTCTCGTTATTTCCCTATCCCAAGGAACCCCCGGCAGGGGAGGGGGGGGGGGGGGTGCACATTCTGAATGGAGACGCGGGAAACGAGACGAACCACCCCAAGGCCCGACTCATTCTCACTGACCAAGCCGGGCCCAAACAGGGGCCACCGGACAGCGGGGACCCAATGAATAAGAGACGAAAAGGAGCACCTCTAGCCAGCGGGAGAAGAGGTAAAAGGAACGCAGAGAGAGGACAAAAACAAAAGCCCAACCGTTTATTCAAGGTTGAGCTACAGAGGCTGGTGTCTGCCCAGACAGACGAGCACCAGGAGTCAGAGTCACAGACTGCCAGAGAGAGAGAGAGAGTGAGTGAGTGAGAGAGAGAGAGAGACGGGGAGAGGGAGAGAGAAAGAGAGAGAGACCGCGAAGCAGGATATGGTCAAGCCGTGTTGTGTTGCACGTTGCCCGTTTTCCACGGTGGAGAATTGCAGAGAGCCTGAGCCTTGGTTTATCTCATTTTCAACCAGCGCGTATCAGAAGAGATGACACATGGAGGGGGATGAGCACAGGGGGGTGCGTGTTTGCTGGACCAGGGGGCGTGTGAAAACGAGCTTGGGTGTGGAGCACGGGCGCATGTACGCAGTACACAGTTTGCACCGCACCTACCCTACCTAGGCACCTACGGATAGGTGTCGTGGTGTCCAGTGTCTCTGGGTGGAGGTGCACCTCATCCCATTCCGATCCCACCTAAACACTGCGGTGCGGTGCGCTGCGGTCGCAGCCTCCACTGCGACTGGGAGACATCGCAAAACGCCAACGGAGAGAGGGGGTGGATGCCGCAACTGTGGCAAGGGCCGCTAGGCGCCATCGGGATGCCTGCTGCGAGCCCCTCTTTTTTCTTTTGATTTTCTACCTACCGACAGTCTACTCTTCCTTTTGTTTCTGGCCCAAGATGGGTAACAGGACGGAACGCCGCCATCGTCGAGGCACCGGCAGTACAGGTCTGGTCTGACGGAGAGGGGTCGGGCCATGGACCACGAGCCACGCGCCGCGGGTACTTATCCTGAGCCTTGGCCCATGGTTCTCGAACCCTAATTGGGGGCCAAATCCTGATGGTTGGATGCCGGACGACCTGCCTTACGGCGAGCATCAAATTCCGTTGCCGTGTCCATGCCGGCCGGCCCAAGCTTGATATCAGATCCTACTTCTACTGGACTACAAGTCTACAGGTAAGCAGGCAGATCCCTATCCATCCTTCCTCGCAAGACCATAATTCTCCGTTGGCTTCCTCTTGGCCTGCAGCATGATTGCCTGACCATTGCAGAGTCAGAACCCGCCGGCACTCTCTGTGCGCCGCCAAGGGAGGCAGCTTAGCCGCCTTGCTTTGCTACCGAGGTGGATATCTGAGCTACCGCCTACCTTGGTCGAGAGGGGTCGTTCACTTGCTCGTTGAAAGACTCGGTGCATGCGTGCTTCTGTGTTGCTGGTGTGGTGCAGGTAAACATCCGAACCCAGCAGGGATGGCCTGGCCTCATGCCCGACGAAGCATACGCATACAGAAGTATGTGCGAGCAGAGTTTGCCTACAAATAGAAGACCTAAATTGACGCCGATTCAAGCTCATCCAAGGCAATCTGACGAGTAGAAATTCAAACAAAGGAAGCCGTCTTGGGGCCGAACTGCCAACATGCTCGGATCCTTGCAGTGGTCGAGCCTTGTCCAGCAGAGTCAAGGTGCGAGTTCGGAAGCAGGAGACGAATTCGGTGCCAATTCACTGCGCTGCCAAACGTGAGACATGCAGATCTGGCGATGTGGCTGGGCCGGGGCTGTCATTGCAGCAGGATTACTTACTTGCAGTCATTGGGTGACTGGAATTGGACATGGCAGCTGTTTCGTGGAGGATGCCTCTCCCAATGCCATTTTGACAATCGTGTCCATGGTTGCTTCTTGTTTTGCGCGTTGTTGAACAATGGTTTCTTGAAAGATGGGATGAAGATAAACTGAGTAGGGGAGGGGAGGGGGAGGGGAGGGGAGGG